TGCCATGCGTTGCTGTGGCCCAGTCTGGTGATCTGGAAAATAATGAGAAGGTGTTGATTTCTAATATATGTAATGTCTTTCTGCTTGTGAGTAAACAGTATTTCTTGCTGTTCCTTTATCTATGTTGATCTGGAGATTGTCTGGTTTGCGTACTCTGGAACATGTAACATATAATTGCCCTTCTTTAGAGGTCCCTTTGAAATCTATGATACTGCATCTGTTATATCCATATATATGTGTGTCTGTGAATCCTATCTATCAATCTATATCTATGGCTGGATGGCTCTTTGTCAGGAGGGCTTTGATTATGTTTTCTTGCCCTGGTGAAGAGAGTTGGACTGGATGGCCTTAAGTATTTTCTGTTGGTCATGGGGGTTCTGTGTGGGAAGTTTGCCCCAATTCTGTCTTTCGTGGGGTTCAGAATGCTCTTTGATTGTAGGTGAACTATAAATCCCAAACTACAACTCCCAAATGTCAAGGTCTATCTTCCCCAAACTCCACTGTGTACAAATTTGGGCATATTGATATTTGTGCCAAGTTTGGTCCAGATCCGTCATTGTTTGAGTCCACAGTGCTTTCTGGGTGTAGGTGAACTACAACTCCCAAACTCAAGGTCAATGCCCACTAAACCCTTCTAGTATTTTCTGTTGGTCATGGGAGTTCTGTGTCCTAAGATTGGTTCAATTCCATCGTTGGTGGAGTCCAGAATTATCTTTGATTATAGGTGAACTATAAATCCCAGCAACCACAACTCCCAAATGACAAAATCATAATTTTTTGAGTAATGGTCACTCCTTGTGTTGTGAGACATTTTTTTTTGTCAAATTTGGTTTGATTTCGTTCATTGGTTCTGTTAGAATCCTAGAATCCTAGAGTTGGAAGAGACCTCCTGGGCCATCCAGTCCAACCCCATTCTGCCAAGAAGCAGGAATATTGCATTCAAATCACCCCTGACAGATGGCCATCCAGCCTCTGTTTCAAAGCTTCCAAAGAAGGAGCCTCCACCACACTCCGGGGCAGAGAGTTCCACTGCTGAACGGCTCTCACAGTCAGGAAGTTCTTCCTCATGTTCAGATGGAATCGCCTTTCTTGTAGTTTGAAGCCATTGTTCCATTGCGTCCTAGTCTCCAGGGAAGCAGAAAGGAATCTTGCTCCCTCCTCCTCCCTGTGGCTTCTATATATATATATATACATACACACACACACACATATATACACACACATACACATACATTACATTTTTAATATATAGATTAGTATAATTTTAGTATTATATTACTATTATATTATTTTATTACATTATTATATTATATGTCATTTTATTATGATGATTATGATGACCAAGGGACAGATGGATGGATGGCATCCTTGAAGTGACTGGACTGACCTTGAAGGAGCTGGGGGTGGTGACGGCCGACAGGGAGCTCTGGCGTGGGCTGGTCCATGAGGTCACGAAGAGTCGGAGACGACTGAACGAATGAACAACAACAACAATCATAATATAATAAGATATAATATTATAATAATTTAATAATAATGTAATGTATAATAATGTAATAAAATAATACAACATGTAGCAGGGGACGGCTAGTAGTAGTAGTAGTAGTAATAATAATAGTAATAAATAATATGCAATATAATAATATAATAGAATAATACTAATAATATAGAATAATACTAATAATATGTCATAAAATATACTACTACTACTAATAATGATGATGATAATAATAATAATATTATAATAATATAATATAATAATGCATAATATAAGATGCCTCTTGCTTCCTGTTGTGAGCCGTTGTAAGTCGGGTGCCTGTAACTTGGGGACAGCCTGTATGTATGTATGTATGTATGTGTGTGTGTGTGTGTGTGTATATATATATGGATACTTTACTAATAATATGTAATATAATAATATAATAGAATAATACTAATAATATGTCATAAAATATACTACTACTACTAATAATGATGATGATAATAATAATAATATTATAATAATATAATATAATAATGCATAATATAAGATGCCTCTTGCTTCCTGTTGTGAGCCGTTTGTAAGTCGGGTGCCTGTAACTTGGGGACAGCCTGTATGTATGTATGTATGTATGTGTGTGTGTGTGTGTGTGTATATATATATATATATATATATGTGTGTGTGTGTGTGTGTATATATATATATATGGATGTTGTTGTTCATTCGTTCAGTCGTCTCCGACTCTTCGTGACCTCATGGACCAGCCCACGCCAGAGCTCCCTGTCGGCCGTCACCACCCCCAGCTCCTTCAAGGACAGTCCAGTCACTTCAAGGATGCCATCCATCCATCTTGCCCTTGGTCGGCCCCTCTTCCTTTTGCCTTCCACTTTCCCCAGCATAATTGTCTTCTCTAGGCTTTCCTGTCTCCTTACTAATAATATGTAATATAATAATATAATAGAATAATACTAATAATATGTCATAAAATATACTACTACTACTACTACTAATTATGATAATAATAATAATAATAATATACATAATATAAGATGCCTATTGTTCCCTGTTGCCTGAGGCCCTTCTTAGCTGTGAATTGTTTGTAAGTCGGAAGTCTGTAACTGGGGGATGGCCCGTATTCCGGAATGGAGGGATGCCCTTCTCGCACAGACGGCTTGCTCTGCCTTTCCCTCATCCGTCCCTCTTCCTCTCCCTCTCCGCAGCCATGGGTACGGACCCCCTTTCTCCTTGCTTTGCCTTGTGGGGCTGACTAGGCCCAAAGCAGAGGCTGACTAGGCACGAAGCAGAGGATGACTAGGCCCAAAACAGAGGATGACTTGGGCCTAGTCAGCCCCAGAAGCCTGCCTCGATTGTGTCCTGGCCTTCTGGGCCTGCCAAGCCTGGGCCTGGCTTGGGAGGAAGGGGCGTGCTTGTGTGTATGTGTGTGTGGGAGTTCCAGAGGGCAGGCAGGCGGGCAGGGCACCCTCTGGCCGGGCGCCCGGGGCCGTGATGGCAGAGGCGCCCCAAGCCACACAGGAAAGCAAGCCTGCTGTCTCCTCCAGGCACAGTTGAGTCCTTTGGAGGAGGCCTCAGGGATGGATCACCATGGCAACCGGGCCTGGACCACACTTCTTCTTCTTGTTGTTACAAAGGCTGGATTATCATCTGTTCGATGGCCCCTGGAGTTTCTGTTGTTGTTGTTGTTGTTGTTGTTGCTATTACAAAAGCTGGGTGGCTCCTAGAGTTTTTGTTGTTGTTGTTGTTGTTATTGTTACAAAGGCTGGATGGTCATCTGTTGGATAGCCCCTTGGGTTTCCGTTGTTGTTGTTGTTACAAAGGCTGGATGGTCATCTGTTGGATAGCCCCTTGGGTTTCCGTTGTTGTTGTTGTTACAAAGGCTGGATGGTCATCTGTTGGATAGCCCCTTGGGTTTCCGTTGTTGTTGTTGTTGTTGTTGTTGTTGTTGTTACAAAGGCTGGATGGTCATCTGTTGGGTGGCCCTGGAGTTTCTGTTGTTGTGGTTGTTACAAAGCCTGGATGGTCATCTGTTGGAGGGCCACTGGAGTTTCTGTTGTTTGTTTCTTTGTTGTTGTTGTTGTTGTTGTTGTTGTTGTTACAAAGGCTGGATGGTCATCTGTTGGGTGGCTCCTGGAGTTTCTGTTGTTGTGGTTGTTACAAAGCCTGGATGGTCATCTGTTGGATGGCCACTGGAGTTTCTGTTGTTTGTTTCTTTGTTGTTGTTGTTGTTGTTGTTATTACAAAGGCTGGATGGTCATCTGTTGAATGGCCCCTGGAGTTTCTGTTGTTGTTGTTGTCATTGCAAAGGCTGGATGGTTATCTGTTGGATGGCCCCTGGAGTTTCTGTTGTTTGTTTCTTTGTTGTTGTTGTTGTTGTTGTTATTACAAAGGCTGGATGGTCATCTGTTGAATGGCCCCTGGAGTTTCTGTTGTTGTTGTTGTCATTGCAAAGGCTGGATGGTCATCTGTTGGATGGCCCCTAGAGTTTCTGTTTTTGTTGTCATTATAAAGGTTAGGTGGTCATCTGTTGGATGGCCCCTGGAGTTTCTGTCATTGTTGTTGTTGTTGTTGTTATTACAAAGGCTAGATGGTCATATGTTGGATGGCCCCTAGAGTTTCTGTTGTTATTGTCATTACAAAGGCTGGATGATCATCTGTTCAATGGCTCCTAGAGTTTCTGTTGTTGTTGTTGTTGTTGTTGTTGTTATAAAGGCTGGGTGGTCATCTGTTGGATCCCCCCTGGGGTTTCTGTTGTTGTTATTACTATTTTTATTGTTATTACAAAAGCTGGATGGTCATTTGTTGGATGGCCCCTAGAGTTTCTGTTGTTGTTGTTGTTGTTGCCATTACAAAGGCTGGATGGTCATCTGTTGGATAGCCCCTAGAGTTTCTGTTGTTGTCATTACAAAAGCTGGATGGTCATCTGTTGAATGGCCCCTGGAGTTTCTGTTGTTGTCATTACAAAGGCTGGATGGTCATCTGTTTGATGGCCCCTGGAGTTTCTGTTGTTGCTGTTTTGTTGTTGTTGTTGGTGAGGCATCTGCCAAAGAGTGCAGATGCCTCACCAAACTACAAATCCCAGGATTACATAGCATTGAGGTATGACAATAATTTTATAAATGGCATCCCTCAAATAGAAGCTTCAGGTGCTCCTAAAGCAGCTTCCCCCATTATTTTGGCTCAGATTACCATATTGTGCAAATCTAATGCCCACCCTAATTTTGACACGGTAATTTAGTCAAAAAAGGTGAGCTAAATACAGTATTCTGAGTAAGTCATTTTGGGGGCAGCTGCTGTTTGCCTGTTGTAGGCAGACACACTCAGCTACAATAGCATTGAGTAGTCTGGGATCCCAACTTCGTCCCAACTCAAGTTTTGTTGTATTGCTTCATTCAAACACACTTCTGCCACACAACACTGTCTTTCTCCAACCTTCCTTCATTATTCTTCCTATGCCAATACTTTATCTCATTCCTCTGTGTCTCCCCTCCCTCCCCAAATCCAGCTCAGATGCGTTCTCTGAAGGATGAGTTCGATTCCCTGCAAGAAGTCAAGGATGTTGAGCTGGAACGCGTTGAACGGGAGCTACGGGAAGCCAATGAGGAGATCCACAACCTGCGCTTGGATGCTGAAGAGGCCGCCGCTTTGCACGAAAATGAAATCGCCGGCCTGCAAGAGGAGCTTTGCCGGCTGAAAGCGGAGTTGGACCGTGTGCAGCTGGTCCGGAATGAGTATGACATGGAAATCACTGCCCTGAGGGCCGAGATCAATATGAAGAAGTCACCTCCTGGCACGGCAGACAGCCAGTCTGTGTCTGAGGTGGCTCCAACGTCAGATACGGAAGAGCGCCTTACCACCGCCAGCGAGGATGTGGCCCAACTACAAGGTAATTGGGCTGCCTTGCACTGTGTGTGCTCTTCAGGGGTTAAAGAACAGAGTGTTGGGAGATGAAAGTGTTGATGCTCAATTCCTTAATTCCTAGTGTGTTCCCAATTAAGACTACAAATAAGGAGATTCTTAAGATTACAATTATGTATTCTCCAGAAGAATTAAGCGGTGAGCTGTGTAATGCAAGCCAGGAAAGTGCCACGCAGAGAAAGGAAATGGCAGCAGCTTTATACATGGGGCAATCTTTTGTTGAGAGGTGATTAGATGTCCCTGATTGTTTCCTCTCTGTTGTTTTGCTGTTGTAATTTTAGAGTTTTTGAAATACTGGTAGCCAGATTTTGTTCATTTTCATGGTTTCCTCCTTTCTGTTGAAATTGTCCACATGCTTGTGGATTTTAGTGGCTTCTCTGTGTAGTCTGACATGGTGGTTGTGAGTGGTCCAGCATTTCTGTGTTCTCAAATAATATGCTGTGTCCAGGTTGGTTCATCAGGTGCTCTGCTATGGCTGACTTCTCTGGTTGAAGTAGTCTGCAGTGCCTTTCATGTTCCTTGATTCGTGTTTGGGCAAAGCTGCATTTGGTGGTCCCTGTTGTTGTTCATTCGTTCAGTCGTCTCTGACTCCCCGCGACCCCATGGACCAGTCCACGCCAGAGCTCCCTGTCGGCCGCCACCACCCCCAGCTCCCTCAAGGTCAGTCCAGTCACTTCAAGGATGCCATCCATCCATCTTGCCCTTGGTCGGCCCCTCTTCCTTTTGCCTTCCACTTTCCCCAGCATAATTGTCTTCTCTAGGCTTTGCTGTCTCCTCATGATGTGGCCAAAGTACTTCAACTTTGTCTCTAGTATCCTTCCCTCCAATGAGCAGTCGGGCTTTATTTCCTGGAGGATGGACTGGTTGGTGGTCCCTATGTAGACTTTTTGTCCACAGCTGCATGGGATCCGGGAGACTCCTGCAGACGTGAGAGGATCCCTCTTGTCCTTTGCTGAACATAGCATTTGTTGGATTTTCTTGGTGGGGTCTGTAGATAGTTTGTATGTTGTGTTTCTTCATCAGCTTTCCTACGCAGTCAGTGATTCCCTTGATGTATGGCAAGAACACTTTTCCCCTGGGTGGATCTTTGTCTTTATTATTATTATTTGAAACACAACAAGATGAGTCAACAGCAGACACTCTGCTGGTTGTTGTATTGGATCACACGTCGGACACTTCCCAAGTGTTTAGGCTTTGTGATGTATTGGCGAATAATGCATACAGATCCCAGTAAGGTGGCCTTCTGCAGCTGGCAGATGGTAATTTTGTCAGCGCCGATTGTGTTTAAGTACAGGCCAAAGTCTTGAGGCACTGCACCCAGTGTGCCGATCACCACTGGGACCCCCTTGACTGGCTTGTGACAAAGTCTTTGCAGTTTGATCTTTAAATCCTCATATTGTGTCAACATCAACAATCCACACTTCGTTTTTTAACACGATTGTGAGGTCAGGAGTCTTGTCCCAGAGTAGCTTGACATGTTCATTCTCTTTAACTTTTTCCGGCTTGTGATCCTACCAGTTCTTTGTCGCAGGCAGACGGTGTTTGTTGCACAAGTTCCAATGAATCCTCTGAGCAACGGTGTTATGCCTCTGCTTGTAGTCTGTCTGCGCGATCTTCTTGCAGCATCTGAGGATGAGATCTATTGTTTCATCTGCTTCCTTGCAGATGAAACAATAGATCTGTCGACAGATTATTATTATTATTATTATTATTATTATTATTATTATTATTATTATTATTGTCGAAGGCTTTCATGGCCGGAATCCATGGGTTGTTGTAGGTTTTTCCGGGCTGTTGTAATTTTAGAGTTTTTTAATACTGGTAGTCAGATTTTGTTCATTTTCATGGTTTTCTCCTTTCTGTTGAAATTGTCCACATGCTTCTTGTGGATTTCGGTGGCTTCTCTGTGTAGCCTGACATGGTGGTTGTGAGAGTGGTCCAGCATTTCTTTGTTCTCAAATAAAATGCTGTGTCCAGGTTGGTTCATCAGGTGCTCTGTTCAGAGAGTTTTATTTCTCTTCTAGGTGCATTCTTTATACCAAAGCCATCATTAAAAATCTACAAAGAAATCAAAAGGACTAGGCCTTAAGGTCTGGAAACCCATAGATCCATAGGCAGAATGCTCTATAGGCCACCAGAGAAGGAGGTTTTGTTTTGCCCAGGTTTTGCCTTCAAAGCAAATGCAAAGCCAGCCCGAGCGGCAGGGACCTCAAGGTGTCAGGTTGACATTTCCGGTTTTGCAGATCTCCTTGCGTGGCTCCGGTCCAAACCCTGTGTGCTCCAAGACTGGAACAAGTCTAGCTCTCAATAGCCAAAGCGCGGGGCTCTTCTGCCTGGGTGGTGGGAGCAGATTTGGGACAAGGTGAACGGCATTGCTGCATTTCATATGGGTTTATGCTTTTGCAGAAGACCTCCAGGCCCTCAGGGCCCAGTACCAGGACCTGAGCGACGAGTACCAGATCTTGCAGGAGAGCAACAGGATCATGGTCCACCAGCTGGAGAGACTGGAAGCCATCAAATACAAGTGAGTCCCACTGATTAGATGCAGGCATGGGCCAACTGCGGCCCTCTCTCCAGGTGTTTTGGACTTCAAAACACCTGGAGAGAGGGCCAAAGTTGGTCTATGCCTGGTTTAGAGCCTTTGGTGCAAATTTAAAATGTATTAAAGTGATCAACAATGTGGTGAAAAACAGTAATTATAACCAAGTGCTCTACCTTTACAAATTTAACTTTTTTTCGGGGATATGAAATCTCTTGATTATTCAGGGATATGAAATGCTTTGAACTTGAACTGTCAGAACTCATAACAGCCTACTGGTAGGAGTTGAAGTCCAAAACACCCGGAGGGCCGAAGTTGACCCAGCCCTGCAAATACTGACATGCAATTATCGACACAAATGTGGCATTCAAAAATAATGGGGATTCAGGCCCAACTTACCTGTCCGAACGCATCTCCCCTTATGAACCATCTAGGATGTTAAGATCGTCCGGGGAGGCCCTGCTCTCGACTCCGTCTGCGTCACAAATACGTTGGTGGGGACCAGAGACAGGGCCTTCTCAGTGGTGGCCCCTCAGCTATGGAACGTCCTTCCTAGGGGCAGGCATGTATCCGGGGGGGGGGGCTTGGGGGGAAATTCTCATGGTGGTCCGCGAGAAGGCCTTACTGGTACATTATTTAAACTGTTATGTTATTCATATCATGATCTGATCACCATGCTCAATATATCCCATATGCATATACGGTTTCGGCCCAGCATATCTGTCCGAACGGACCTCCCTCTACGTCCCACCTCGGAGTTTAAGATCTTCCGGGGAGGCCCTGCTCTCGACCCCGCCTCTATCACAAGTGAGATTGGCGGGGACGAGGAGCAGGGCCTTCTCGGTGGTGGCCCCTCACCTGTGGAATTCACTCCCCGGGGAAATTAGATCACCGTCATCCCTTGTTTCCTTTAGAAGGAAATTAAAGACATGGATTTGGGACCAGGAGTTTCGGCAATCTGGCAGATAAATAAAGGACAACGACGACCGATAGGAATGGAGAATGTGGAATGAAATTATGGACTCTGAGTTGCGAACGCTGAGCATGAGATTGGTTTTTATTGATTGACTGTGATATATATTGATTGTTTTAACTGTTATAATTGTTTTAATTGCTGTTTATATTTTATCTGTATTACTGTATAGGCATCGAATTGTGCCTTTTTGTAAGCCGCCCTGAGTCCCCCCTCGGGGGTTGAGAAGGGCGGGGTAGAAGTACACCAAATAAATAAATAAATAAATGGGGGTATTGGGGTAACGATACAAAAAGTTTGCTAAGGTAGACTCTCTTTCTCTCAGACTCATCCCCCCCCCCCCGAATCAAACTCAGCTCCCCCCCAAAACAAAATCCTAGCTACGGGCCTGTAGCTCACCTACAATCAAAGTGCATTCTCTCCAAAACAAAATCCTGGCTACGGGCCTGCCTAGGGACATTAGATCAGCTCCCTCCCTTTTGACTTTCCGAAAAAAAAGTCAAAAGCTGGCTGTTTGAGCAGGCATTTGAAAAGGCAATGTAACTGACATAGGAATACGGAAAAATTGGACTATGAGATCGGATTCCGTTTTTATCTTGGAGATGAAATGATTTGCTTTTACTAATGTGTTATGGTCTTAATTGATATGTAAATGTTTTTAAATGTTTTAAATGTTTTTATGATATTGTTGCCATTGAATTGTTGCCTTGTGAACCGCCTCGAGTCGCCTGTGAGCTGAAAGGGGAGGTATAAAAATGTAGTAAATAAATAAATAATATTCACCCAAGCACAGCTTCAACAAAGGAAGGCAATTTACATGCAGCAAAATGCAAACAGGTAGCGTTTCATGATGGGAAGGGATATAGGGCCTCCTCCTATCTCCCTCTGTTACCCATTTACCCAAAATTGCATGCTCTGGTTTATCACGGAGGTCCATTTGGACTGCGGGCATTTATAACATAACCCAGATTTCCAGAAAAGTGTGGGGTAAAAGGTTGAATTTTGATACTCAAGAGTTTAGAATGGAAAAAAAAGAACCGAATTACATTTGAATGCCGAGGAATGTCATGCCTTTGGGCACAGGGTGAGCACGATATTCTTCCTCTGACAGGACCAGAAGCAAGTCGGACGACTCGCAGGACTCGGATTCGGAGCCGGAGTTGGTCGAACCCAACACCCGCCGGGTCTCCATTGCCCGGAGGAACACCCTGCGCGCGGGCGCCAGCGTCTCCTTCAAGTCGGCGGAGATCGTGGGTACCAGCAGCATGGAGGGCGATGACAAGATGGACAAGCTGGAGGAGGAGAGCGAGTACGACCTGCAGTGCCAGCTGGAGGAGGAGGAGGAGAAGGTGGAGCTGGTGCAGGCGCAAGTACGAGCGCGGGCCTTGGAGCCTTCCCCATCCCTGGAATGTTGATGCACTCATTGTGGGCCATTGATGCTCTTTCTGTGAGGCATGGGTGCTTGGAGCATTGCTGCTCTTTCTACAAGGCATTGCTGCTCTAAGGAGCATTGATGGCCTTCCTATGGGACATTGGTGCTCTCTTTAAGGAACATTGATGTTCTCTCATTGGGGCATGGATGCTTGGAGCATTGCTGCTCTTTCTACAAGGCATTGGTGCTCTCTCTAAGGAGCATTAATGCTCTTCCTATGGGGCATTGGTGCTCTCTTTAAGGAACATTGATGTTCTCTCATTGGGGCATGAGTGCTTGGAGCATTGATGCTCTTTCTAATGGGGCATTGGTGCTCTCTCTAAGGAGCATTGATGGTCTTCCTATAGGGCATTGATGCTCTCTTTAAGGAACATTGATACCCTCTCATTGGGGCATGGGTGCTTGGAGCATTGATGCTTTTTCTACAGGGTATTGGTGCTCTCTCTAATGCGCACTGATGCTCTCTCTATGGGGCATGGATGCTTGGAGCATTGCTACTCTTTCTACAAGGCATTGGTGCTCTCTCTAAGGAGCATTGATGGTCTTCCTATGGGACATTGGTGCTCTCTCTAATGAGCACTGATGCTCTCTATATAGGGCATGGATGTTTGGAGCATTGCTGCTCTTTCTATGGGGCATTGGTGCTCTCTCTATGGGGCATGGATGCTTGGAGCATTGCTGCTCTTTCTATGGGGCATTGGTGCTCTCTCTAAGGAGCATTGATGCTCTTCCTATGGGGCATTGGTGCTCTCTCTAAGGAGCATTGATGCCCTCTCATTGGGACATGGGTGCTTTTTCTACGGGGTATTGGTGCTCTCTCTAATGAGCAGTGATGCTCTCTCTATGGGGCATGGATGCTTGGAGCATTGATGCTCTTTCTACGGGGCATTGGTGCTCTCTCTAAGGAGCATTGATGCTCTTTCTATGGGGCATTGGTGCTCTCTCTAAGGAGCACTGATGCTCTCTCTATGGGGCATGGATGCTTGGAGCATTGCTGCTCTTTCTACAAGGCATTGGTGCTCTCTCTAAGGAGCACTGATGCTCTTCCTATGGGACATTGGTGTTCTCTTTAAGGAACATTGATGCCCTCTCATTGGGGCATGGGTGCTTGGAGCATTGATGCTTTTTCTAAGGGGCATTGGTGCTCTCTCTAAGGAGCATTGATGGTCTTCCTATAGGGCATTGGTACTCTCTCTAAGGAGCACTGATGCTCTCTCTATGGGGCAGGGATGCTTAGAGCATTGATGCTCTTTCCACGGGGTATTGACGCTCCCTCTAAGGGAAGCAATACTCTTTTTATGAGGTAGTGATGCTATATCTATGAGGCATTGATGCTCTTTCTATGGTGCATTGATACTCTCTGTAGAGCATTGATGTTTTAACCATGGGGCACTGATGCTCCTTCTGTGGAACAATGATGCTCTCTCTAAGGAGCATAGATGCTCTTTCTATAGTGCAATGCTCTCTCTAAGGAGTATTGATGTTCTCTCTTAGGAGCATTGATGCACTTTCTATGGGGCATTGATACTCTAAAGTATTGATGCTCTTTCCTTGGAACATTGATGCTCTCTCTAAGGAGCACTGATCCTCTCTCCTTGGAGTATTGATGGTTTCTCCTTGGGAGCATTGGTGTTCTCGCCAAGGGGCATTGATGCTCCTTCTATAGGGCGGTGCTCTCTCTATGGAGCATTCATGTTCTCTCTATGAGGGATCAATGCCCTTTTTATGGAGCATTGATGCTGTAAGGTATTGATGCTCTCTCCTTGGGACATTGATGCTCTCTTTAAGGAGTATGAATCCTCTCTCCTTGCTTTCTCCTTGGAGCATTGATGCTCTCTCTATGGGGCATTGATGCTGTAAGGTATTGATGCTCTCTCCTTGGGACATTGATGCTCTCTTTAAGGAGCATGAATCCTCTCTCCTTGCTTTCTCCTTGGAGCATTGATGCTCTCTCTATGGGGCATTGATGCTCCCTCTATCCTTTCCTGTTGCCCTCCCTCTCCACAAATCATGATGTCATGAATCATACCCCTGCCACTCACCTTAAATGCAGATGGCCTTCCACATCATCACATGTTATTTCCATATTAATCATAGCCTGCAGAAATTGTTTTTCCAGAAAACCTTTTGAAGCCAAAGAAGGTTTAAGTCCAATATTGCTTTGATGAGTATCAACAATAAATAGCTTCCAAATGAGCTCAGATCATCTCGATCCAAAAGGGGAGAAAGGGGGTAGAGCCCATAGTTCTGCCAGAAAAATTAATAGGAGTAAAAGGAGGCATAAAAGTAGACATTTCTATGCCAATTTTGGTTATTTTTAGCAATTTGAATTTATATAAATCAGATGCATGAACAGCATATTAACAATATCACAGATTGATGGTATAACTATCTTTTAATGGTTTAGGATAAATTAATTACCCTTTGGTGACTTAATTTAAACTCATGAGCATCCATACTAATGTTTCCAAGGTCTGGACAGGGATGATAAGGGAAAGGATATTTGGGGTGGATAAAGTGGAGGAGAGATGTGCGGAAATGCATTGGTATCAGGTGTTAAAAGACACCAGCGGAAGAACCCAGGTGGCCAGTAGTTTCTGGCCACAGAAAGCAATTTTGGGAGGATGTATTGTCGAAGGCTTTCATGGGCAGAATAACTGGGTTGTTGTGGGTTTCTTCGGGCTATATGGCCTTGTTCTAGAAGCATTCTCTCCTGACGTTTCGCCTGCATCTATGGTAAGCATCCTCAGAGGTTGTGAGGTCTGTTGGGACTAGGAAAAGGGGTTTATATATCTGTGGAAAGACCAGGGTGGGACAAAGAACTCTTGTCTGCTGGAGCTAGGTGTGAATGTTTCAACTGGCCACCTTGGTTAGCATTTGATGGCCTGGCAGTTGTTTAGTGTGGCTTGTTAGTGCCTGGGGCAATCTTTTGTTGAGAGATGATTAGATGTCCCTGATTGTTTCCAAACACGAATCAAGGAACATGAAAGGCGCTGCAGACTACTTCAAACAGAGAAGTCAGCCATAGCAGAGCACCTGATGAACCAACCTGGACACAGCATATTATTGGAGAACACAGAAATGCTGGCCCACTCTCACAACCATGTCAGACTACACAGAGAAGCTACTGAAATCCACAAGCATGTGGACAATTTCAACAGAAAGGAGGAAACCATGAAAATGAACAAAATCTGGCTACTAGTATTAAAAACTCTAAAATTACAACAGCAAAACAACAGAGAGGAAACAATCAGGCACATCACATCACCTCTCAACAAAAGTAAATAAATAATAAGGAAAGAAGAAAAGGAAAGAAGGAAAGAAAAGAGGGTACTTGAGTGTTTAAGACTGCCTAATAAAATTAAAGATGAGAAGGAATATGCTGTGGCCCCATCTACACTGCCATATATAATCCAGATTATCAGCTTTGAACTGGAATATATGGCAGTGTAGACTCATATAATCTAGTTCAAGGGTCCTCAAACTTTTTAAACAGAGGGCCAGGTCACAGTCTTTCAAACTGTTGGAGGGCCAGATTACAATTTGAAAAAAAAAACATGAATGAATTCCTATGCACACTGCACATATCTTATTTTGTAGTGCAATAAACACTTTAAACAATACAATAATTAAAACGAAGCACAATTTTAACAAATATAAAGTTATTAGTATTTCAATGGGAAGTGTGGACCTGCTTTTGGCTGATGATATAGGGTTGTTGTGTGCTTTCAAGTCGTTTCAGACTTAGGTTGACTTTGTGCGAGGGCCGGATAAATGACCTTGGAGGGCCGCATCTGGCCCCCGGGCCTTAGTTTGAGGACTCCTGATCTAGTTCAAAGCAGATATTTTGGATTCCAAATGGTGGTGTAGATGGGTTCTGAGTGAGATGGACAGGCAGAAATGACATCAGAGTGAGTAGGAGGGAGATAAGTGTTTCACTCTGTGCAATGCTAGATATTTAAGAGCTGGAAAGAAAATTCAATTAGAAGGTAGGATTGTTATTGCAAGAGGTAATACTCCCCTTCCTTTCTGTTGGGAAGGTGGGCAGTTTCTAACTCCCTTTCTGTGCCTCCACCTCCACTTTTTTTTTTTTGCTCCGGCAGTATGAACCAGAAATGTTCAGCCTGTCCCCGTCCAGCCACCGCGGGTGGAGGACTAGGTCCAAAGAACTCACGGAAGGAGAGCTCGCAGCAAGAAGGAAGGGCTCTGAGGTAGGGAAGGAAGACCTTGTGATGAGAAAAATGTGGGCGCAACTCAAGGGAGGAGTGAGTGAGAGAGTATGAAGCCCAACCCAGGCCAGAGGGGAAGACCCTTCTCCTTGTTTCCTGGCCTTGGAGACTTAGAATCGTAGAATTAGTGGTGACCCCAAGGACCATCTAGTCCAGCCCCCTACCATCCAGACAGATGTACCTCCAGCCTCTGCTTGAAAACCTCCAGAGAAGGTGGAGACTCCACCACACTCCAAGGAAGTTGATTCCACTGAACTGCTCTTTCCGTCAGGAAGTTCTTCCTAATGTTTTGGTGGAATCCATGGCTTTGTTGTGTCCTGCTCTCTAGAGCAAAAGAAAACAAGCTCCACCCCTCCTTCTCCTCAATGGGAACTCCTTTCAGATATTTAAACCTGGTTTTCATGTTCCCTTTAACCTTCTCATCCTACGCCATTCCTAAGCCAGTCCTGATAGCACTTGGCTTCTAGACCTTTGACCATGTTGGCGCCCCTTCTCTGAACCCCTTCCATCTTGTCCATCTCCTTCCTGAATTGCTTTGCCCAGAACTGGACACAGGGCTATTATTCCAGATGAGTTCTGAGCAAAGCAGAATGGAGTGAGACTGTGACTTCCTTCAATCCAGACATTAGACTCCTTTTGATGTAGCGTATTGGTTTTTTTAGCTGCCACTTCACACTGTTGACTCATGTCCGGCTTGTGCTCCACTAAG